ATATATATATATACTTACAGCATCCCTAGTATTTACTACAGGGTTGCAAGTACATATTGGCTGCGGGTTAAGAATAGCGGATATTCTATCTACAATCGTAATGTCTATCTCGCCTCTGCAGGGTTCCATTTGAATGCTGAAAGATAAGATTACATAAAATACTAATGTAATTAATTCGCAGTTTATTATCGAATGATAAATCAACGATAAATCAAGTTCTGTTTTATTAATTTCAGATAGTCTATAAAATATCAAATATAAAGTAAAATATTCAAATTGTTAGAGATAGTTTAAAGATAAATGCGAGATGATTTACTCGATTTCTGTGCGTGGATGTGCAAATTTCGTCATGTGAGCATGTCGGACAGCCTTTTGTGTATATTTAAATCTCATTCTAAAATCGGTTTTATTGGAAAATCCGATATTAGTCGCGCTTTCTTTCGTAAACGCTAATAGTTCGACGAATTCTATCGTTGATGCTCTGTACGAGTTGGGGTTGTTGGAATCGACCAAACACTCTACAACTTCCAGACTAGCTAAAGTCAAACTTCCCGATATTGCAGAGTACTGACTAGTAGTCTTTTCACTGCCTTCGACCACCAGCGGTGCAGCCAGTAATCTATAACCAAAAGATATTTTTTTTTGTTTTTTAGTTATAATACACAAATTAGAATTTATCATTGATCTAATGATTAATATACCTGATATGACTTAGTCGACAGGCATCTGTAAGCGATTTTGATGCTGTATCGAAATCTTTACTTCCAAAGCCGCCCATTGCAAATGTTCCCAATTGTCTGAAAAATTCCTTCGCGGCACTCTTCATTTGTCTTATGCTACTAGAAGTTAGACCGAGTTGTTCTACGCACGGCGTCAATATATCTTCGTGCAACAGAACTAGAGCGACGGAAGATACTCTTATATGAAATTGAGTAGTCTCCGCGGAAGTGTCGTTGTCTATATTGTGTCTTTGTCTATTGTGTCTCGTCGGCAAATTCGTCGCAGAGCTTTTCGAACTGATGCTACTGATCGATATGCTGCCCTCCATACTGAAACTATTGCTCACGATCGAATCACACATTGACGTAGATCCCGGCAATTTCATCGGTAAAAATTCATCTTCGTTATCAGATTCGTCCACCGATCCTGTAGACCACCCTTGAGCATATCGTAGATCCTGTAATATATAACCCACAATTATGTTATATTAAATCACATACATACTTATATTAAAATGTGTCAATAAATCTCATTACCGTAGTTTTCAAGTCTTGCATAGGATGCGTCTGATGAATAAGTTCACGTTCTATGCGACTGAAATCACTGCTAGCCATGGGTTTCTCTGCATATCTTCTTGGAACGACGTTACTCATGTCTTCTAGATTCGGCGATGCTAGGCCATGCGCTAATTCTAACAAAACGTGCAACTGTCTGGGACTCAAGAACAAGGTAAGTGATCCCAGAATAATTTCTAGTTCTACCTGAGGGAATACATATTATTCCTTCACTTTAGAGGAAAATAAAAATCTGAACCGGAAATAAATATATTACGCAACTCTATATATAGTCTGAATCAAAAGAGATTAGAAATAATTTATGAAAATTTATTTACCTTTGGCCCCGATATTCCTTCCCCTTGTTTCATTTTTAATCTTATTTCTTGTCTACCCGCTAACTTAGCAAACATAATGGGATTTAATTCGTTTGAGTTGTTAACAGCATTTGCCTCTGGAGGAGTGTGCAGTATGCTCAGAGTAGGAGACATTTGTGCGGAGGTAAACAGACTGTCCGAATTCTATTGTCCAAAGAAGAAAAGAGAAGTTAAATTCTGAGATCTCTTTTGAGATCATACTTGTGATATCAATATTCTACTCCTACTCGGATCTTTGTTTATACTTACTTTAGAATCGGGAGTAGAGCACGTACTTGCCACTAAACTTCTAGAAAACGTTCTCGCATGAGAGGGAAATTCGTCTGTATGGAAAGTCACTCCCTCCATGTAGAATCGCTTGGTGGAGAATGCCGAAATGATGTAACCTTTTGCGGATTCATCGGGATCCAGACTACCACTAGGATCTAACCCAGCCTCGTCAGAATATTCAAGATTTTGTATCCACATTTCGACCGCCACTCCCGTGGAAGAGTTCAAAGGTACATGTTCCAAACGTATCACAGTATCGATGAATCTCACTTTGACCCTGGATAATACTAATACACGAAAGATAACTCAGTTTCAGATTTAAGAACATAACTGCACTTGTAGAAATAAAATAATATTCTACTTGAATCTATAGTCTGGGCAAACAGCTCCACTGCTTCTAAAGGCTGAGCGTTTCCTGCGTTGGTCGCCTCCTGCTGCAAACACTCTTGCGCCAGTTGCATACTGGACGTCATGGAACTCCACATGGACTCGAACATCGACGTCCCAGTCTCGACTCTTTGTCGCGGCTGCACCGTAAATCTAAGACCTTTCACTTCCATGTAACTCGCTTGGCTAAGTAATGCCGACCATGGTATACTAAGAGATATCTCCAATATAAAACCATCAACGAATTCCAGTGGAACATGTTGTTGCTCTCCCATCTCGTTGAGACCCTAGATGCAACATAAATATTTATTCTTTTACAAAAAAGAACCAAATATATCAATTGTATAATGTGAGTATTAAATCAAAAAGAAAAAAAATAAATTTTTTACAAATCAATAATCGAGTATAATAGTCTGTATAAATTATCATTTATTAGCATATAAAATATTATAGTGTTAACCAATGACTAGCACAAAGGTATCAATGTATCTCATTAATTAACATACAAATGTAATCTATTGTATTTGTGCAACATTGTTATTGATATAACTGATAATAATAGTTCATATATAATTTTTATTTGATTATTCTCAAAATAAAGAGATAAACCCTTTTATGCAAAATATAAAAAAACTTGTATAATTAAAAGATATAATAAAATTACACACACACACACACATATATAATATATATAAACATATATATGTTTAACAAAATTTGTTAAGAATATAATAAACAAGTATTTTTGGTAGGAAATCACACATTTAATAAATGCATTATTTAAATGTATTTGTTATAGGTACTTAATTTCTATGATGTTTATTCATTATATATATATATACACATATGTATCAACTTCACATACATACACGCTTGTAGTTTAATTAACTGTTCTCTATATCTTTCAACTATCATCATTCAATATTTAAAAAAATTATTATGAAATCCGCACATCACACAGAAATCGCATTAATTTATCGAATCATTGGACATCATACGATCTCATTGGCTTTTAAATACATGTTACGTTGGATCAGCTGTTTAAAGACAATGTGCGAATACGAGATAGTCGCGGCGCTGTAAATGCGTCTAACGCGCGTGGCGTATTTACCGAATAGTGCAATCTTATCTTTATAATTTAGCTAACGGAAGAAAGGAAGGTGCGAGAGACAAAGAAAAAAAAAAAAGCGCGTTAACCTACCTGTACGTTGAGATAGACATTGTCGACCTGACCCTTGCCATTGTACAGATCGACGGTCAATTGATCCAGCGACAGATCGTGGAGGAAATGACCGAGGTAACGTTGCAGCAGGTATTTGCAGGCCCTCTTCTTGATATCCGCCGACCAACCGAGCCAAGACATGTTGCTCGTCAAAGTTTCGCGCGCGCGTCAGGCGTCTATTATTCCGAGGAAAATTCCGCTCGTGTTTTGCGTTTGTAATAGAGAATCATCATCTCGTGGTCGTCGCGCCAGGCACGTTGTCACCAGGCATTATCCTTCTTTGTCGGACGCTGTACGAACAATGTATTTAGCAACGTAACGGACGATTCGCTCGACCGAGTCTCATCTCCTCGACACGCGTACCCTCGTTCGCGACGCCTGACATAATACCCGATCGGGCGATTCTCGACCGAACAATGGCGATGCAATGCGCCTGCACACACGCGTGTGCGTCGTGCGTCGTCGGTCGCGTAGCGTCCCCACCTCGATCGGAGATTGGAGTCAAACTGATTCGGGGAGACAAAAAAAAATCTTTTCCCCGACACACCGATAAGACAGGCTCGACCGTGAATGGACCGAACGAATGAGCGGCGAGCTCGAGGCTCGAGTTCGCTCACATCTGCGTTTTATTCGTCGTGTCCAGGGCGCAACGCGACAACCTTCGGGCGGGCAGTTTCCGAGAAGGAAGAAAAAACGATATTTTCCCGGTCTCCTACGAAATTTCCGGTATTTATAATTACCGAGGAAAAATGGATCTCGAGTCGCGCTCCTCATCGCGGTAGAGATCATCTTCCGCGATGACAAATCTGTCTCGATCTTCCGATTTGGAAAATGTGCGAATTAGAAGACGGTGTTGGATTAGTTGGATCGGTGAGCATATACTAGTTTCCGCGCATGCGCGTCGAATGTCGTATCTATGAAATAGTTGAATTTTATGGAATAAGGACCTATATGATCTTCGTTTAATCGTTTTTAAAAGTTATTTCGACATTTTTGGAAAATTAATTAGAAACGCGAAATAAAAAAAAATATAATGCACAAATTATATTATTTACTTATATGTAACTAGATATTGTACATTAAACTTGTCTTTCGATCACGTAACTTTTTCCCTAGGGCGAAAACGTGAAAAATTTTGCTATTAATTTCAATTAAAATTAAAAAAAAAAAAAAAAATGATACAAAGCCTGTCCTCTACGAAATCCCGCCAAAACTGAGGTGCCCATCACGTATATGGCTGTAATGATTAATCACCATTGTATGCATGCGCGGAAACGGGAGCCCATCTAACGCATAGACATGTCTATATATCTATATGTCTATGGTCTAATAAAACTGTTGGCTGCACTGACGTTGTGACATCTGGCGCTCGCATCACATTGCTATGATCGCGGCCGGTGATTCTGCGCGCACGTTCACGGACGATTATTTTGACAAGCACTTTGTGTACGATTCAAAGTGATTCGAAGCATCTGTCAATGAGAAGGAAGCGGGATTCATGGATTCCGACTAATAACGGTTTGTCACAATCGTATACGAGATCCTGTCAGTTCACCTGGACGGTGAGAAACACTCTCGTTTCAACCGTACAATTCTCATCCTGAAATATGGCATTGACGAATATCCTGCTGCTCAGTCAAATAGCGGGTTACGTCGTGGCTCTTATCCTGTCACTCTGCATCATCGTACCTATGAGCCTGCACCAGGATGAGTTTAGGTAAAGATCGAAAGACATATTTTCTAGTTGACGCGAAACTATCGCAAATCACTTATTTCTTTTTGCAGAGGACATTGTCTCCTGTTTTCGACCGGAGTCTGGCAGGAGTCGGATGGCCAGTTCGTGGTGAACTGGGCATCGCAAGCATACTGTAATTATACGATATTCGTAGGCCTGATGCTCCTCATAGCATCGGCGGTACAGATCTATCGGTTGTCCCTGCTCATGTACCGCAGCGAGGATAGCTCGTTTCTCTCTGCGTTTGTGGACGTCGTCATGTCCATCATCCTCACTACCATCACCCTGATCGCGGCGATTATCGTTACTTTAGGCTTTATGACTTGGTGCCAATGTATGACCAAGAGATTCCCATCGTGCGAACTAGCCGCTGGAAATGATATTGATAAGGCTGACGATATCGATACATCTGGCTTTCATATCGAACTCGGCGCTGCACAGTTTGGCATCTGGAGCAGTCTATCGATTTGGGTCGGTTTGTCAGTTTTCGCTGTCTTAAAACTGTTACGATACCATCAGTTGGAGAACATGAAGGTATCTATGTATAGAGAGAGGCAAAAATTAATAGAAGCTACTACAAGCGGCATTCAGCAGCAGGAACCGAGTTAAAATTCGGTAGGCTAAGTTTTCGTTTCTCAGGGGTGACATGTTTAAGAATATATGTTTGTTAATTCACAAGGGCAAATAAGACTATATCTCTAACAACATATATTTATGTAAACAGTTACAGTATATGAATTTTTTGATAATTTTTAAACGCCCAGAATTAATGTAAGTGAAATGATATGTTAATATAACGAATATCATTCTGTTACAAACTGATGCAGAGTTGATTAGTTTCACAAAAAGGAACAGTTAAAATTTTTTTTTATTGAAAGGTCAATGTATATATATACAGCAAAATATTTTTAAAGTATTACACACGTTTAGCAGAGATTATAACCTCGTTTACAATTGAGAAGAAAAATTCTTTAATAAAATAATAAAAGTTAAAAAAAAATCTAATAAATAATATAAAACACAAGAAGGTAAACGGATTAATGAGAGTCAAGCGTAAAAAACAATGCGAATAAATATCTTCATAAAAAGTCCTTTAATTAAACGTTTCGATTCCTTTTTGGATCATCTTTAATAATTGTTGACAAAATTATTTGTGTAATACATAGAAACGATACAAAAATGAATAGTAAATACATGATATTATAAAAAATGTGAGCATATTATTTCTTTACATATAATGATAGTTTTGCTTATTGTTGCATCTGTGAAGTTCCTTAATGGCTGGAATCATTTGAGAGACTTGCTTTGTAAGACAGAAAGTAGTTCCGTCTTAGTCATGTTGTATTGCATGGGTGTCAAAACACACGACATTTTTAGGATACCATGTATTTATTTATTATTCATTTTTGTATCGTTTCTATGTATGACACAAATAATTTTGTTAACATTTATTGAAGATGATCTGAGAATAAATAAAACGTTTAATTAAAGGATTTTTTAAAAAATATTCATTCGCGTTTTGTTTTCTGCACTTAGCTGTCATTAACCTGTTCGTTTTTTCCACGTGTTGTGTTTTGAATTCTTTAGTAGTCCTCTTGCATCATATTGTTCAACTTTCGATTTTCTATAACTTTAGATATATAAAATTTGTATAAAAAATTTTTGTTAATAATGTGTATATATGATATTACAATATAAGTATTTCCATTTGTAATGAACAAATTGAAACATAGTTTTAGTATAATAAGTAACAAAAGTTGATGTATATAATTGCTTATTTTGTATATTTCTCTATATTTTTCTGATTCTATTTTATATATATAATAATGCATGAAGTCATTGGATCTTTTGAGTTTGAATATATAATTTGAAGGAGAGATCCTTGTTACAAGAGCCTAAATTTAAAAATATTTAAATATGTTTATATTATATATGAATAATAATTATATATATAAACTATAATGTAATATATCAAAATTATATCCTGACCCAATCTAATATAAAATGTACTATATCTAACCCTGGAAATTTCAATACATATAACATTGCAAATGTATCTTGCATGTTACAAATCATACAAAATGACCAAATGCAAATAAATGATTGAAATAGCGACGAGACTCGTTTAAGCATAACGTGATTGTACTTTTGTGCATACTCCGAGTGTGCTTCTACGACTACCTGGTGGACACGATCTTCTGGGAGGAATGTTGATTATCACAAAAGGCGCGATGTTAGTTGATACACATTCCAATTGGAAAGTGGTTTCGTTCACGCCTATTATCCCATCGGGCGCGCAAGGGCCGCCTAACGTTTTGAGAGGATAACATGTATCGTTGTACGGTACCACGCCGTCTTCCAAGCAAGGATTCTCCACGCAACGTGGCACTGCCTCGTTCTCGGGAAGAATGACGTAATTCTTGGACGGACAAGGACCTTGTCTGTAGGCCTCGTGGCAGGAATCGTTCAATGGGAAATATAAGAATCGTGGTCTACAGTCGCACACCCAGGCGTTTCTCGCACCGTCACCCGGATAAAGAAGCATGTTCTTCGGACAACTGTCTGGTATCGACACGGGTATACGTTCCGTTATCGCCTGGAGTATATAAAAAGAAGTATATGAGAAGCCCATTCTCTTCGCGAATTCTTATATTAATGCTTTTATTACCGTGGAATTGCCGCCGCTGACGTGGGACGTTTCTTCATCAATCGGAAATGCAAGATCCTGGCCAGGTATCATCATATAATTGTATGTAAGAAGCACAATACTGATATATAAGCACTTCATTTTTATTGTTGGACGAAACTGTGCCGCTAAGAAGATCGAAAATACAGATATTTGTAAATGGAAAGTTGAAAAGGCTGTTCGCGATAAAATGATACAAGTGCAAAAGTCAATCAGAGTCAGCTGCATATAAATATTTGTAACTAATAATTATCTAAGAAACGATCGTGCATAAAGATATCAAATGTTTCGATCCATTTCAGATCCTCTTCGGTAGTAAACTAGAAAAAGCACGATACACACACACACACACACACACACACACACACACACACACATATATATATATATATATATATATATATATATATATATATATATATATACTCCAAGAGAAGGCCCATAGGCCCATTTTTATAGCGTATCGCGCGCCAAATAGGTAATCTCGATCAAAAAACATACCTACTGTGGAACGCTCGTCGAAATATATATATATATATATATATATATATATATATATATATACTCCAAGAGAATGCCCATTATAAGATATCAGAAATGATGCAAACAACTATTAATGAGAATTATGTATATGTATAAATTTATATACCAATTTATATATTGCATTTTAGCTCTAATTGGCACTTTTCATATCGAGATTTAATGCAGACGAATATGAAAATATATGATTTCTTACAGTGTTGTTAGCAATAATATCCTATTTTCCGGTAAAAAAAGAAGATACTGTGCGCGTGACAAGCGAGATGTGAACTTGAGAGAGATATGTTTTGAGATTCTCACAAATATACGTACAATTATGCTGAGCCGAACTAACGTGACTACGATGTTTCAAGGCTAACCACTATCAAACAAAAAAAAATGAAAGAGTATACCGACTTGAACGATATCCTCTTCACTAATACCGGTGCATCTTTATGTGTGCGTATGTACATACAACTTGCAAGAAAGTCGTTAAACATATATATACAGGAACAGTGGAGGAAGAGGAATTCTTCAGAAAAATGTGCTTCTCGAAACCATGATTCAAGATGATTAAATGGCTCGCACCAAGATGTGACATAGACCAACACTGAAATTTAAATAATTTTTTTCTTTGGATAGATCTAGTATCGACGATGTAAAATATAATCTTTCTATAATTGCTATCCAAGCTATTTATTAATCTTATTAAAAAATTGATTAGGATTTAGCTGTATAAACGCACTATATATAATATTTCGGTGAATCGAGCATAGAATATTCTGTAATATTCGAGTCTCGAAAAAAGTAAAAGCTTTTATTATTGTAATCATATATTTACAGAAAGTATACCATTCTTTCGAAGGATCTTTCGAGAGAATCACTCGTCTATTTTCAAGTTGTCTTCGAGTTCTGCAGCTATTAATTCGTTATGTGCACTTAAATCGTTCATAGAAGCTAAGAAATTGCTCTCGTTATATTCAGGCCAAGATTTAAATTCCTTAAAAAGTTCTATCATTTGTGCTGGAGTTAAGTCACCAAACTGTGTAAATATTGTGTAGTCTTTAGCTATTAATCTGATTCCACAGCCTGGTATCCATTTTCTAAGAATAGAATATGCAATTGTAATATAAAAAAATAAGATTTTTTCTATATATATATGTATATATATGACAGCAAAATATTTGATTAAAATCATTGTACTCACTCTAATTCAGATATCACTTTGTTACAACGTTTCTGCATGTGATGTCTTACAAAATACGAAAACGTTATCCAATCTTCTAGCGATAATTGCGAGTAAAGATCGATTTTTGGCTCAATTTTTACTACATTTATTTGCTCATAATCTTGTTTTGCTCGCATACGGGCGAACTTATGTTGAAGTTTATTGTTTTGCCTTGGCCAAGGTAGAAAAGCTTTTCTATTTAATGCTCCCAGAAGTTTATAATTGAACATTGTTTGAAACATCACTTTTGTAAAAGTGTATATTTTACCGTTACTGATATCACAACTGTATTTCTATATAAAGTATGATAAAGTCAAATTTCAATATAATTATCGATTATATTTTAAAGAATAAAGGAAAATGAAATACTAACATGCCACAGAGATGGAGGTATCGCTAAATAGAAGACAGGTCTTCCATAAGACATGAAGGAGTTGCGAAACAATAAACTTTGTATAAGATGATGAAAAAATAATTTGCTAGATGTCGCACCAATTATCTGCATGGAAGTTTCATCTTCCCATTCTTTATTTTCCACTCCTTGAAAAATCTGCTGAATTTGACTCTCGTCCTTAAGTTTGTAAAACGAGTTGCAAGTTGTAATGAGATTAAAATTTCGCAGATCCAATCTTCCAGGATACATGTTATGAATTGCATTCAATATTGGATGTAACTCCTTTCTTGCTTCGTACAGATGAATCAATGGTATATCAACTTTTAATAATTCTGTAGTCAACACACCGTAACCAGGATTCATCTCGGCAACAAAACACATATTCTTTATAAGATCATCTTTAATCAAAGAGAGATATTCTGCAGCGGAATCTCTGTCGATAAAATATAACACATCAACATCTGTCTTACATAATTTCAATTGTTTTGTACAAACGTTGATTAAATCTGGATTAACACTGCGCACATAGCTCATAATATGGAGTATCTCTTTATCATCAAATATAAATTTTCTTTTCATCTTTATTTTTATTTTTATTTCTTCGATATCCTTCTTCATCTGTTTGGTGTCTTTATATTTGACTTCATTCAAAGATGAGCTATTGCTGGTCGATGTCGAGCAATATACTTTTAAAATGTGCTTACTTCTTCCTGACAACCAGGAGATTATTACTGGCAAAAAGTTTTTGCTTAACATTTTGCCTCCAATTTGTTAAAAGACAAAAATACAAAATCTAGATAAAAGTATTAAATACTAAAGTAATCATAAGGAGAAAAGAAGTTTTCCTATCGAAATATCTGATGTTTTAACAAATATTATAAAAATTAATAAAGAGGAACGTTTTTCCTTAAAAGTTTCCAAATGAAAGAGATAGTTGCATATTGATTAGTTATTGCCATCATATAATACACATTATTTAAAGAAGAATATTTCTTCTTAATGGTAAGAATCAATGTTGCCGATTGGCTGATGATAATATTCGTAAAATTATTTCGAATCACACGTAAAAAAATGGAACAAAATCCAAACAAACTCGTAATCGATATCTATACACGTGTTATCTCTTAGAAATTAACCTAACCTCAACCTAGTATTGCCCAGTATATAGTAGCTATATACAGTATAATCTCTACATGCAATTTTTTTCTGCTGTTTTTACCTGTCGTTATTTGGGGTAGCTATAATTAATTAAAAATCGTGTAATTGCATAATTCAAAATTTTAAGAAATTCGCATATTCCTTGTTTGTTTTCCTTCTATATTCATTGAATCGCATGAATCTCGAAAATAATAAAACTATCAAATATATATTATTTTCTATTTTAAAATTTATACGAAAAGTTTAGTAATTATTATTACATCGATTCAGATATATCGAGACGTACAAGATTTAATCACAAGTAAGATCTATTTTTTTGTATGTCTGATTATTATTAGATTATTGTTGTTATATTATATATCAGATATATGCAAAATTATATATATATATATATATATATATATATCTTAGATATCATCTCTCTGTTTCTCGGTTTCAGGAAAGAAAACTGCTTATCAGTAACATATTTGCATCATCGTCGTCATCATTATAATTATCTGTATCAAGATTTTGTAAAATGGCTCAAAGTGCTGCTTTGTTGACACGTATAATAGCATCTTCCGTGTCTGCCACTATACAAGCCGGTAAAATAATTCGAGATGTTTTGAATACGGGCGGATTAAACATAGTGGAGAAGGGCAAGAATGATCTGCAAACAGAGGCAGATCGTTGCGCTCAACGATGCATCATAACTTCACTGAGTTGTCAGTTTCCAAATATAACAATTATCGGTGAGGAAGAGCCATCCAGTTGCGAGGTGCCTTCTGAATGGATCATCACGGAAGCTGATCAAGAGGTGTTGCAACTGAAGCTACCATCCCACCTGGAGGACGTTAATCCCAAGGATGTGTGCGTTTGGGTGGACCCTCTAGATGGTATTGATATCTTAATTTGAATCCTGAAAAAAGAGTCCTGTGAGCATATGACAAATAAAATACATTTATATTTCTGCTTTGTCTTATGCGCATTATTGTATTTTAAGGCGTAAAATAATGGAGAACATGGTTTATTCATGAAAGGATTTATTTTGTAGGTACGGCAGAATATACGCAAGGACTGGTAGAGCATGTCACAGTATTGGTTGGTGTGGCGATCGGCAAGACGGCGATTGGAGGCGTAATACATCAACCATATTATAGAAATGACGAAAATAGTACATATGTTGAAAATGGTCGTACATTGTGGGGTATTGATGGCGTGGGATTTGGAGGTTTTGCGCCGAAACCACCTCCGGAGGGAAGGAGAATAATAACGACCACTCGGTATAGCGAACGATTTTAGTTTATTATGTTATTCTGTGATAATTTTATTAATATTGAATACATTTTATCGTCCTCGTTCACAGTTCGCATTCTGACAGCATTGTCCAGAGCGCCATAAAATCCTTAAATCCCGATGAAGTCATGCACGTAGGCGGTGCCGGGCACAAGGTAATTACACGAGCGAGTATTCACGATTTCCGCCGTAATGACCCGTAATGACAACGGCGAAGATATACAGTGCGAATGAATTAAATCGAAACATTATGTTTATTTACAGATAATTCTCCTTTTGGAGGGAAAAGCTCACGCATATGTGTTTGCCAGTCGCGGATGCAAGAGGTGGGATACTTGCGCCCCCGAAGCCGTTCTTCACGCGATCGGTGGTGTATTAACCGATCTTCACGGTGAACGCTATTCGTATAATCGGGAAACAACATATGCAAACACCAGAGGCGTACTGGCCACTGCGCCTGGCCAGTTGCATCAGTGGTACTTGAATCGTATACCTGATGAAGTAAAGCAAAAATTACAATAGGTAATATCGCGGCGTGAATCGATATGATTTTAAACTATTTATTTTTGCCGGATATTTCGCCGGATTCTTATTTCAACGGTATTTTGCATTTTTGTGCATCAAAAATTTTAATAATTGTTAATAATCTCATGGACGCGAGACGTAAACATTCCGTAATAATTTTATATTCGTCGGTATTCTGGTGTAAAGAAAAAAAAAATACAAAAACAGCTTCATCTTGAAATAATGTAATTACATAATAAAAGAAAAAAAATTTAGTTAAAGGAAATTTTATTTTGATCATGTCGCTCTTATTTTGATTACCATCGAAAGATGTGACATTTTTTCTTACACTGTGGTTCAAAATAAGTTTAATGAAACTAAAATCATTAAATTAATAGAATAGTAATGCGCAAAATTTTTTACATAATCAAGGGATGTGTGGCAGATGCAGCATATGCTTCAAAGAGGCATAAGTAGTTTAGATAACGCTCGATAGAATATATATATCTTTTCACGGTCAGCATCTGACGTAGCAATCATTCCGGTTTTTCTTTAAGCCTAGTAGAAGGGATAATAAAAGACGCTGTAAGCAAGAAGCACTGTCGAGTCAGTGCGCGATTACTGCATCGCGAGACATCCATCTTCAAAACAAATCGGTATTAAATTTTTCCACTAACTATCGAAAAGATTGGTCGTCTATCGGGAATATCGCCTATTAAGACAGGAGAAAGGAAAAGAGACACGAAAATTAAAGAACTGACGAAATATTTAGAGAAATTCGAGAGGAAGATAAGACAAAACTCGTTAAGAGACTAATTAAAAATCAAGGACGAGGACTGAGACCAGAAATGATGGAACGTTCTTTATTTCCAAAATCGTTCCTCCTCGCGATATTCCTTGTGAATATTCACGAGTATTGCGCCGCTTATACTCCTCCAATGGTTACAGTGGAGCCGCTTCATCCCGTAGGACTGCGCATGTCAATTCCTGGTAAAATATAAACAATGGGTCTATTTTTTATAGCTGAACTAGCTGTACTAGTTCAGAGTTTATCTCTTTCTCTCCACATTGGAAGGAGAAAGACTATAGGGATAGTTTATTTTATGCATTTGTTTTAAATTAATTGAAAAGAATATCGTGAAGATTACGACTGTTCTGAGACATTGTGCATTACCCGCTCATTAAATAATTTTGCAATGAATGAAAAAAATAATTAAATGAATCGAGGATGGGACAGCTTATAAATGAAACAATCGTTATCTTGCGCGACTGATCATCTATATCTTGTAAAATTTGAACTCATTAAGGACAAAATCATAATAATACACAGAGCTCTTTAAACATAAAACTAAAAAAATGAATTTTTTAAAACTTCTCACGTTATAAAATATGCAAAACTAAATACCTTCCGCTTTAAGTTGTATATAGCTATTTATTATAAATAATTATTATTTATATCGCAATTTATTTATCTATATTTTATATTCTCTCTTATCTATTTTTTATATTCTCTCTATTTCTCTCAAATAATTGAAAAAATAATTTACTAAAAAAATCGTATCATTTTATTTAAATTTAAGTTATTTGTCATTTATGATTTTTTTTAATGGCTGATAAGACTGACATACCAATGTGTTATCTGTAATATATAAATTAAGATTAAGAGGTTTATATCAATCGTTATTTTGATTTTCTTATACTGATCTTTTGATCTCTACTATAAGTAAACAGAAGATAATATTGCACATTCTAATCCGAATTCTCTCCTTGTACAGATGAACACGGAATTACATTAGTGGCCTTCCATGTTAAATTCAACGAGGATTTCGATGGTCTAGAAGCGGGACAAATAGCGAAAGATATTCTCAAACTTCGTAACGGACGTTGGACTTATCAGGACCGGCGAACTGAGTTAAAGAGGGACGACATTATTTATTATTGGATTCATGTAGTATATGAGGGCCTTGGTTACAATCAGATTGATCAATCGCATCGGGTTATCGGTAATTTTGCCTGATTATTAAGTCAAAGTTGAATTAATCCTGTGTCTTTTTTAAGTTCCATTTTTCGAAGCAAAAATTCGCTTAAACTATGGTTGATATTGACTAATATATTTATATGAATGGTTTTAAATTTTATTTATAATTTATTATTATAACTATACATTCATACATATTATAAAGAACTTTATTAAACATAATATACCATTATTTGTTATTTTTGGTTATTATTATTTAATTATTATTAGTGTTCTTAAACCATGTTTATCGCGATTTCCAGATTTTTACAATTACGATGGCACTAAATATATCGAAGTTCAAAACGAGCAAAACTGTACGACGACATCGGCCACATGGATCTTCAAAAACGGCGGACGACGGCAAGTCTGTCCTCGTCAACTGCTCTTCGAGGAGAATTTCGATACTATCAATAGCACAAACTGGAATTCGATTCAACGTTTTGCTGGTGCGCCGGTACGTATCATATACTAATTATAATAAATTATTTATAGGAGAATACGGAGAACTGGTTCTACAATACTATTGTGATTAAATCGCAATACTATTTTTGTTTCACCAGGATAATGAATTTGTTGTCTACATGACCAATGATGTAACAGACATAAACGACGGCTGGCTGCGCATCAAACCGATTCTTCTTGACACCAAATTCGGCAAGGATTTCACATTGCATGGAAGATTGATATTGGAAGAGTAAAACCGATGATCTTAGAATTACAATTAGAATTAAAATTAGAGAATGTAACTAACATGTGAGAAATTTTAATTTATGTTGTTCATTCGCTTATAAAATTCACATCTTCCGATATTGAATTTATTCTATATTAAATCACGGCAGATATTATAGATTTTGAGTTGAAATTTTCATACCATACGATTTATTTCCCAATTAAAAAAAAATTATTAATTGCTTTTTAATATTATAAAAAGCAATATGAATCTCTTTTTAATATTATGCAATTTTACGAGCATAAGGTTTTATATGTGTTATGTTCAATTGCGGTAACTTTTATACCATAATGTCTTTAAGAGATTTCACACATCAAAATTAAATTTAATTATACTTTTCAGTTGCACAGGACAAATTGGTACAAGTGAGTGTCAACACCAAGCTGCCGGCTGGTATATCTTGCCACCGTTGATCTCGGGACGTCTTAATACAAAGGGAAAATTCGAGTTTCTCTTCGGACGCATCGAAATAAGGGCCAAGCTGCCGCGTGGTTTGGATTGGGTGTACCCTCGTAAGTTCCTCGTAAGTTAGACTTTCAACCATCTATTTCATTTGCGTTATCGTACAATTTTGTTTCGCAGTGTTAATTCTGGAGAGTACCGAAAATACGTTGGAGTTTGGACTCCACCGCGAGATTAGGATCGCGTCTTCGGTGGGCAACGATATACTAAGAACACCCGCGGGCGAAAACATCAGCAATCGTATATTGAGTGCAGGTGGATTGACCATTGCCTTAAACGGGAGTGACGCACAGAATATTAACCGGTTTCAATTGCTTAAGAGGCAATCGAGTAAGCCTTGGGCGGAGAACTTGCACATCTTTGAGATCGAATGGAAGA